AATTCTGGCCTCTAGGCATCTCGTGTGAACTTTTAAGCAATGTTGGTGAATTTTGATTTTTGGGTGAAAAACTGACTTTTTCGATGATGCCGGCTATGGAAAACGTTGAAGTTTTGGGTGCATTTTGTAAAAAATCTAAAAGTTTTCTTTTCTCACTGGATAATGAATGTTATGAGTTGAACTCTTCAGGGAATTCAATTCTGGCCTCTAGGCACCTGGTGTGAACTTTTGAGCAATTTTGGTGGAGATAGATTTTTGGGTGAAAAACTGGCTTTTTCGATGATGCCGGCTATGGAAAACGTTGAAGTTTTGGGGTATTTTGTAAAAAATTTAAATGTTTTCTTTTGTCACTTGATACTGAATAAAATCAGTTGATTTTTTCAGGGAATTCAATTCTGGCCTCTAGGCACCTCGTGTGAGCTTTTGAGCAATTTTGGTGAAGTTGGATTTTTGGGTGAAAAACTGACTTTTTCGATGATGCCGGCTATGGAAAACGTTGAAGTATTGGGGGCATTTTGTAAAAAAATCTAAAAGTTTTCTTTTCTCACTGGATACTGAATGTAATGAGTTGAACTCTTCAGGGAATTCAATTCTGGCCTCTAGGAACCTGGTGTGAACTTTTGAGCAATTTTGGTGGAGTTGGATTTTTGGGTAAAAAACTGACCTTTTCGATGATGCTGGCTATGGAAAACGTTGAAGTTTTGGGGTATTTTGTAAAAAATCTAAATGTTTTCTTTTGTCACTGGATACTGAATAAAATCAGTTGAACTTTTCAGGGAATTCAATTCTGGCCTCTAGGCACCTCGTGTGAGCTTTTGAGCAATGTTGGTGAAGTTGGATTTTTGGGTGAAAAACTGAATTTTTCGATGATGCCGGCTATGGAAAACGTTGAAGTTTTGGGGGCATTTAGTAAAAAATCTAAAAGTTTTCTTTTCTCACTGGATACTGAACGTAATGAGTTGAACTCTTCAGGGAATTCAATTCTGGCCTCTAGGCACCTCGTGTGAACTTTTGAGCAATTTTGGTGAAGTTGGATTTTTGGGGTCAAAAACTGACTTTTTCGATGATGCCGGCTATGGAAAACGTTGAAGTTTTGGGGGTATTTTGTAAAAAATCTAAAAGTTTTCTTTTCTCACTGGATACTGAATGAAATAAGTTGAACTCTTCAGGGAATTCAATTTTGGCCTCTAGGCACCTGGTGTGAACTTTTGAGCAATTTTGGTGAAGTTGGATTTTTGGGGTCAAAAACTGACTTTTTTGATGATGCCGGCTATGGAAAACGTTGAAGTTTTGGGCTATTTTGTAAAAATTTAAATGTTTTCTTATCTCACTGGATACTGAATGTCATGAGTTGAACTCTTTAGAAAATTCAATTCTGGCCTCTATGCACCTCGTGTGAACTTTTGAGCAATTTTGGTGAAGTTGGATTTTTGGGGTCAAAAACTGACTTTTTCGATGATGCCGGCTATGGAAAACATTGAAGTTTTTGGGGCATTTTGTAAAAAATCTAAATTTTTACTTTTCTCACTGGATACTGAATGTAATGAGTTGAACTCTTCAGGGAATTCAGTTCTGGCCTCTAGGCACCTCGTGTGAACTTTTGAGCAATTTTGGTGAATTTTGATTTTTGGGTGAAAAACTGACTTTTTCGATGATGCCGGCTATGGAAAACATTGAAGTTTTGGGGGCATTTGGTAAAAAATCTAAAAGTTTTCTTTTCTCACTTGATACTGAATGTAATGAGTTGAACTCTTCAGGGAATTCAATTCTGTCCTCTAGGCACCTGGTGTGAACTTTTGAGCAATTCTGGTGAAGTTGGATTTTTTGGTCAAAAACTGACTTTTGATGATGCCGGCTATGGAAAACGTTGAAGTTTTGGGGGCATTTTGTAAAAAATCTAAAAGTTTTCTTTTCTCACTGTATACTGAATGTAATGAGTTGAACTCTTCAGGGAATTCAATTCTGGCCTCTAGGCACCTCGTGTGAACTTTTGAGCAATTTTGGTGAAGTTGGATTTTTGGGGTCAAAAACTGACTTTTTCGATGATGCCGGCTATGGAAAACGTTGACGTTTTGTGGGCATTTTGTAAAAAATCTAAAAGTTTTCTTTTCTCACTAGATACTGAATGTAATGAGTTGAATTCTTCAGGGAATTCAATTCTGGCCTCTAGGCACCTGGTGTGAACTTTTGAGCAATTTTGGTGAATTTGGATTTTTGGGGTCAAAAACTGACTTTTTCGATGATGCCGGCTATGGAAAACGTTGAACTTTTGGGGGTATTTCGTAAAAATCTAAATGTTTTCTTTTCTGACTGGATACTAAATGTAATGAGTTGAACTCTTTAGAAAATTCAATTCTGGCCTCTAGGCACCTCGTGTGAACTTTTGAGCAATTTTGGTGAAGTTGGTTTTTTGGGTCAAAAACTGACTTTTTCGATGATGCCGGCTATGGAAAACGTTGAAGTTTTGGGGGTATTTTGTAAAAAATCTAAATGTTTTCCTTTCTCACTGGATACTGAATGTAATAAGTTGAACTCTTCAGGGAATTCAATTCTGGCCTCTAGGCACCTGGTGTGAACTTTTGAGCAATTTTGGTGAAGTTGGATTTTTGGTGTCAAAAACTGACTTTTGATGATGCCGGCTATGGAAAACGTTGAAGTTTGGGGGCATTTTGTAAAAAATCTAAAAGTTTTCTTTTCTCACTGTATACTGAATGTAATGAGTTGAACTCTTCAGGGAATTCAATTCTGGCCTCTAGGCACCTCGTGTGAACTTTTGAGCAATTTTGGTGAAGTTGGATTTTTGGGGTCAAAAACTGACTCTTTCGATGATGCCGGCTATGGAAAACGTTGAAGTTTTGTGGGCATTTTGTAAAAAATCTAAAAGTTTTCTTTTCTCACTGGATACTGAATGTAATGAGTTGAACTCTTCAGGCAATTCAATTCTGGCCTCTAGGCACCTGGTGGGAACTTTTGAGCAATTTTGGTGAAGTTGGATTTTTGGGGTCAAAAACTGACTTTTTCGATGATGCCGGCTTTGGAAAACGTTGAACTTTTGGTGGTATTTCGTAAAATTCTAAATGTTTTCTTTTCTCACTGGATACTAAATGTAATGAGTTGAACTCTTTAGAAAATTCAATTCTGGCCTCTAGGCACCTCGTGTGAACTTTTGAGCAATTTTGGTGAAGTTGGATTTTTGGGTCAAAAACTGACTTTTTTGATGATGCCGGCTATGGAAAACGTTGAAGTTTTGGGGGTATTTTGTAAAAAATCTAAATGTTTTCCTTTCTCACTGGATACTGAATGTAATGAGTTGAACTCTTCAGGGAATTCAATTCTGGCCTCTAGGCACCTGGTGTGAACTTTTGAGCAATTTTGGTGAAGTTGGATTTTTGGGTCAAAAACTGACTTTTTCGATGATGCCGGCTATGGAAAACGTTGAACTTTTGGGGGTATTTCGTAAAAATCTAAATGTTTTCTTTTCTCTCTGGATACTAAATGTAATGAGTTGAACTCTTTAGAAAATTCAATTCTGGCCTCTATGCACCTCGTGTGAACTTTTGAGCAATTTTGGTGAAGTTGGATTTTTGGGTCAAAAACTGACTTTTTCGATGATGCTGGCTATGGAAAACGTTGAAGTTTTGGGGGCATTTTGTAAAAAATCTAAAAGTTTTCTTTTCTCACTGGATACTGAATGAATTGAGTTGAATTCTTCAGGGAATTTAATTATGGCCTCTAGGCACCTTGTGTGATTTTTTGAGCAATTTTGTTGAAGTTGGATTTTTGGGTGAAAAACTAACTTTTTCGATGATGCCGGCTATGGAAAACGTTGAAGTTTGGGGGCATTTTGTAAAAAATCTAAATGTTTACTTTTCTCACTGGATACTAAATGTAATGAGTTGAACTCTTCAGGGAATTTAATTCTGGCCTCTAGGCACCTCGTGTGAACTTTTGAGCAATTTTGGTGGAGATAGATTTTTGGGTGAAAAACTGACTTTTTTGATGATGCCGGCTATGGAAAACGTTGAAGTTTTGGGGGTATTTTGTAAAAATCTAAATGTTTTCTTTTCTCACTGGATACTGAATGTAATAAGTTGAACGCTTCAGGAAATTCAATTCTGGCCTCTAGGCACCTCATATGAACTTTTGAGGAAATTTGGTGAAGTTGGATTGTTGGGTGAAAAACTGATTTTTTCGATGATGCCGGCTATGGAAAACTTTGAAGTTTGAGAAAGTGGAATTCTTGATGTAGGCCTAAGTAATTTGTTGACCACGGGGCCCACCAAATGCCATGGCGTTACAAAGATCCAACAAAATGATTGTGCTAGAAGGAACACAGTTGCTTTCTAATTCCAGAAGTGCCTTAAAAAATACATCAAATAGACCTCGTGGTGCTCGTAGTTGAGTGGGTTAGGCTGGTGTGTTTAATAATGAAAGCTTCTCTCGGCCATTCCCGGCCATGGATGTCCTTGAAGTAATAAGTAATTGATTAACAAGAGAAAAGAAGAGGGTGTGAGAGTCGAGGAGGGAAAGTGGAAGAAATTACCAAATATGATGAATTGTTTGACTCTTAAAAATGTATTGAAAAAAAGTGGCGTCGGTATATATGGGGATCTTTCCCAACTGAGATTAAATCATGACTTTTATCTTTCTAATTGTATTGGCACATGATTGAAAACATTGTTGATGGCTGGTGGGCTCATTTTATTGTATTTCTTTCTGGTAATGAAACCAAGGATTCCTCATAAGTGCCCTAGGTACTGTAGCCCGAAAAGCCTGACGAAATGAAATTGGTGACGTCAACAATATGTACAAAGCGTGTCCACCATTGTTGACATTCATGTTGACATGAATTTCGCTTCGCACTTGCTTTCGCGTGAAGTATGAACCGGGCTTAATACCGAATACCGCTATATTTCTGTGGCACTGTACCGTGGACTCTCAAAATCCAGTACCGCATAAGCCTACCACGGCCCACATCACAGCATTCAACAAGTGCGACCTACATGTATGGTATGTTCATTTCACAGGGTCAGATAGAGGCTATGCAGGTGGATATGCAACCAGAAGGCAGTGACAGCCCCGAGGAGCTGGCCTACACCGTAGACAATCCTACACTGGTAAGTCATTCATTTGAGTCTGCTAAACCAGCACCCGATTTCACGAAGCGCTGCGACGCGTCGCAACTCGAGTTACGACGTGTAACACGTCGCAACTCGTGACGCGTCGTATCATCCATTTCACGAAAGTTGCGATGTGTTGAACGCGTCGTAAGTTCCTTGACAGCGGCTTAAAACACGTCGCAAGTTAAGACGTGTCTAGTGGTCGTCGCAAAATAAGAAGAGTCATTTCTAAGCCAGTTTTATGCCATAAACATTACATTAACGAGATTAGAATACCGAGGCAATGTGTGTAAAGTTGTAAATGGAAAATTCATTGAATAATTATGAATTAGACCGGAATATTAGAATTGAAATTTCAAAGTAGCTATACAGTCCAATGAGAGTTTGTTTTCCTTCAAAATTGCATCGCACGGCCGTCATTTTGTTTTACGTTTTAACAAATTTCGAGCTGAGATCCAACGACTCTATGTTGACTATCAGACGACTATTTACTGTACTCTGACTAAATACATAAAACAGTCACCGAGTTGTGCTATAAATACACCTACGACGCGGCGCACTTACGACGTGTTATGTGAAATGGATTGCAGGACGCATCGCAGCTGCGACGCATCGTAGAGATACGACGCGTCGCATCGCTGCGATGCATCGTAAGTTACGAAGAGTTTGATGAAATCGGGTGCAGGACCCTATAAATAGGCCATGGTTTTTTTTTAGCAAATGAGGGTGAATCAAGTTTATTGATGTAGATTTACATTTTGTGACAATTCAAAAATTACATTTTTTATATCAAAGTTGACTCACTGAACTGTTTCATGAACAAGAGTTTTCCAGAGTTTGTACGCAGAAAATAGCGTCATTATTGCGCTCTTGCGCCAAAAATGTGAACCATTGCATTTTTTTTTGACATTTGGACATGATCTGGCAACATAAAGGACCTAGGGGGAACTGTGGATTGAACATTTATTTGCTCATGGCCCAACAAAACCATCATATTTAACCCCAAAACATCTATTAGCCCTAACCCCCTGGTGAGTGATTTACTAGGAACCATCTCCATTCCTGCAAATTCCAACACCAAATGGTAACTCATACACCCAAACTGTTGGACTCTGATTATGGTGGTATGCCTGACCCCATGTAAAGCATAAACAGTTTACTAGTGCAGTACTCACTCCAACAGATTCCAACAAAACATGCAGTTGGATTTTAAAGGGTTGGGTGGTTAGGGTTTATAACTGCCAGATTGTAGTTTGAAGATTAACCCTAACCGCCCTGAGGAATTTGGAGGATTGAGGTTACATGGTAAAAGTGCCGTTACTGATTTCGTAGGATGCACTTTGTCAAGGTCTTGGGCCGGATCTGGTGTTGTTTTTGCTCAGCCATGCATAAATATAGGCCTGTGTTATGCTTGAAATCCTTCGCACTGCTCCAGGATGTCACTGGCCAAGCCTCAACATATTGACAGTCAGGATTTTGCAGGATTCAGGCAGTGGTCACCGCTCCATGGACCATATTCAAGAAATAATGGAGGAATTTGCAGGATTGAGGCTATATGCTATTTTTCCCATGAGGCCAATTGGAGGATGTTGCAGGATTGAGGTTACATCCTAGCAAAAAGGCCCAGGGAGTTGGGGTTAAGCTAGTGGTACTGAAATTGGCTTAGCATTCGGAAGGATTGTGAAATTTCATGTGTAATGCATAGGTCTCTCACTGTGCCTCTTGCCTGTAAGTTTAACTGTGACCCGTAAATTTAATGGTGTAAGTCTATTTTTTTGTTATATTTACAAGAAAAGTATGCTCATTAAATCCCTCCGAGCAGCAAAGCGGTGATAAAATTCTCTACATTTTCCAAATATGGGCATAGTTTTTTTTTTCAGTGGGCCAATTAGGCCAAGCTTCCATGTAATCCTCACCCCTACTATACACCACAAGCCTGTTGACTCCCATTGGACAGACCCTAGCCACTCCGGAGTCAGGAGTGTTGAAAGACAGAAGCCAAGATGGCGGCTCATACCTTTGTGCAGTAATCGGAGAAAATGGCTGCCAAACCCTTTGTGCCGCCGATCTCTTTGTGCCAACCCCTCGTGCCGCCCAGAGCTCAGACAGGTTGTAAACAATCCCTGACGATGTGAATGACCTATATCTTGTGCATGTACAGGCATGCGGGGGTTATTGACCTAGAAACACATGTGGTGATAAAATTCTCCACGTGGCAACTCCGTGTGATTTTTTTTGCTAAGCTGCTCCCAGGGTTAGGCTGTCCCCGGCAACATAAATGTACTCAATTATCTTCTTTTCTGTTGCAGGATTTAGACGGGTACGCATCCAGTTACTCAGGGCTAGCGAAGATCAATCGGTTGCTGTTTGTCGCTGCGCATTGTCCGTCGCTGAAGATTGAAGCACTACGGATCGCTCTAAGCTACACCCAGTCTACCTACAACACACCCATGTACCAGATCATTCAACGCAAGCTCACAGAAGCAGTGTAAGTGTTTATAGATGGCTTGCGCAGCAGCCATGTTTGAGGTGTGTGCTTTTGTTCAACAGGGGTATGTATGAGTAGGTCTCTTGTGCATTCATTGTTAACCCTAACCCTGCTGAATCCAACTGACTGTGTAAATCACTGACTGTGTACAGGCACTGGTGGAAAATAAACCCTTTGCCTTGTTGGCCAAAGAAAATAGGTCCAATTGCTTTTTCTTAGTGACCTTTAATGTGCAGGCTTTCAACCCAGACAGGGGATATTGTGATCGTGTATTCCTTCTGTGAGTCCATGTGTCAGTGTGTGTGTTCCATTTCACTGTAAAGTTCGGTCATCAATCTCAAACAAACTTGAAAGGTTGTCTGTGGAGAGAAGGCCGATGTCAACAAAACCTTTCCAATATAGACATTTATGAGGTCTCTGGAGAGCTCAGCTTAGTATTATTAATGACTCTAACATATGTTAGTCCAGTGTCTCACCTAAACTCTCTATTCAACCCAAACTCCCCATTCAACTGAGAACCGGTACCTGCCGGGTGGACAATCAAGGCCGTTACTGAAAATTGTCCTTATAAATATACTAACTGCCTGTACATGTATACAAACTCCAGGATATTTGTATAATCAAACAAGTAATTTTGCATGTATGTCTGTTTAGTTCCAGCACGTCCATTCTACCAGACGCGGTTGCCGGGGTTGTCCACAACGTGCCACCGTTTGACACCCAGTGGGTTGAAACGACCAATAAGAAGGCAGCGTTGAAGCTGGAGAAGTTAGACACTGACCTCAAGAACTACAAGAGTAACTCTATCAAAGAGAGCATTAGGTCAGTATCTGACTAGTGTGCCATCATCATGTCAGTGGCAAAAAAATACAAAACATTCCTGTAACTTGCTTACTCCATGTCAAACAACCAAACTGTATCCTCCTGCTATTTAAACGGTCACAGACAGTCAAAATTCAATTCCACTTCCCCTGTTATACTTCTAACAAAGGCTAGTCACCAGCAGTCAGATCATATGTCAAGCAAGCGCTGTGACTAGTCAAACTGGGTCAACAGACAAAGGAGGCAAGTTGTGATCACAGCTGTTTTACCACTCACCCTGAGTCAAAGCATAGCTGTATCAAGTTACTTAAACAGTCCCAGTCAGTCAATCCTGCTTTATGTAGGCTGGGAATTCTTAACTGTTGAAATTAAAACAGTCGCTTGTTTGATTTTGACTTTGACTTGGCACAGAATGTATGCTTGCATGAAAGGGTTAAGTGACTTTATTTTAAAGAAGGAAACTTTCAATGGGATGCTAAGTTCAGATGCATTTTGCACAGAATAACAGTGAATTAAACTGTATGTCTGCCTTGCAGGCGAGGGCATGACGATCTAGGCGATCACTATCTGGATCAAGGAGACCTGAGCAGCGCCCTCAAGTGTTACTCTAGAGCCAGGGATTACTGCACCAGCGCCAAGCACGTTGTCAACATGTGTCTCAATGTCATCAAGGTTTGTACACAGTGATGCAGAATGCAGTTGTAAAGGCCATGTGTAATTATAGTTATCCCATAGCACAAGTAGAATAAAGTGGAATAAAGTAGCGTGTCTGTGTTTCATGTTCAATTTAATTCAACATTAAAAAGCCTCCTATTGTTTGATCAATCACAGACAGTCACAGACATTTGTATACAGACTAGTAAAAAAAAAGCGAGTGCAAGCAAACAGACCGTCCTTTGCGAAACCTTGGAGTAACGTTCGCGAAGGCCTTGAATAATCAATACACAAATTATAAGTAACATTAAGCAGGATTAACCTTTCGCGAACAATTAAAATGAAATGCGCAAGCATGTCTCTAAAAAGGAGAATTTTTGGAAAGTCACGCCACTTGAAGCTTTGCTCTTCATCAGATATTCAGCAGCACTATGACTCGGATTAGTGATTCCACACGTCAGAAAATCGCACATTTCGATTCGCAAGGCTACACCAGGCGAGCTATACAAGAAGCCCTAGCAATCGACGGTATCGCTGCTTCCCTAAGTGGCATAGCCAAGATCCTTCGGACCGAGATCCGGAGGCCCTAGTAAAGTAACTGTTCGTATGCGTGACCTCATCGATGATAACCTCGAGCATAACAATGAGCTCAGTGCACTTGATTTGCAGCGTATCATCGAAAAAGAAACAGGCACACATCTTGCCGAATCATCAGTTGGGCGAGTTATTAAGCAGCTGCAATGGGTGGGCCTACACACTGGCACCCAATATTGCCAGCTTATTCGTGAGGCGAATCGGCCAATTCGTTTGGCAAGTGTCAAGAAGAGCGCGAGAAATTCAAAAATTCTCAGATGAATGCAGTGTTCAAATTGAGCGCCACGCCAAAAAGTGCTTCAGAAAAAAAAGAATAAAGCACCTGTTCTGAAAGGAAAGCTGAAACACCCACTCAAAGTCCGTGTGTGGTCAGGCATTTCCAGGCGCGGGACTACCGGAATCGTTATTTTTGAAGGCATTATGGATTCAGATTTTTTTACGCCAACAATATCTTGCGCCACCACCTAAAATCATTTCTAGAAACAAATTTTCCCGCCGGCCACCGCTTTCAACAGGACAACTTTCAACAGGACAACTGTCCAACTCACACAAGTGCACTGACTCGGGGGCGTTATGCAAGAGCTAGGCATCAACTGGATGAACTTCCCAGCAGAGAGCCCTGATCTGAACCCAATTGAAAGCTTGTGGGCAGAGCTCAAGAATAATCTGAGAAAACAAGTCAAGCCTGCCACCAAGGAACAGCTCATCCAGGGGATATGAGACTTCTGGTTACAGAAGGCCACGCCCAAGAAATGCAAGAAGTACATCGGGCACATCCAAAAGGTCATCCCAAAGTCATCGGCGATAGCCTTGTAAATGGGTTTTTTTGCGACCCGAGCTGTTATGACCTTTTAGCCTCAAGCCTTGCGCATCTTTAGATACCAACAATATAAAAATCTGACCATGGATTGCCGCGCAGCGAAAAAAATTTCGGCGCTATGCACCGTGAAAACTGAATTTTCCCATAAACATCGAATACACAGAGCAGAATTACCATTCGTACATATGAATAATTAATCAGCCATAATTCCAAAAGCCTTTGACCTATAGTCATGAAATTTTGTGGGTATGTTCATGATGAGTTGCTCTATGCATGTATCGAATTTCAAAATTTTTTGTCACTTGATCTTAGAGGTCCCCCCCCCCTCCCGCCTGAGAGATGGTCAAAATAACCCATCCCTTTTAGGGTTAAGTTAGACCACGTACCACAAGCACTGACAAACCAACTGGTTCTTTTCAGAACCTGGCTCTATTCAGAGCCACACATAGTCAAAAAAGAGCTTAGAATTCCATGTCTGTTCCCCCCCCCCCCCTATTTTTTTTGGTGAGACAAAAAAATATATATAAATGCTTTAAGGCCCCAAAAAAAGTGTCCAGTTTCTTGCCCAAAAGTGCTGCGGCGACGCGGGTTTTTTAAATTTTTTAACCCAACTTTTTTTTCTCTTCAAATGTCGGCTGATGTTGTAGATGACGCTTCGATCCCCTTAAAACTCTCAAAATATCCTTCAGAGTGCAGCTTGCGGTGACCTCAGTAAGGCCATAAGGCTTGAGATGTATATAGAGCTAATTAAAAAGCGTTTACAGGTTCCAGATACACGACCATCGCTCCGTCAGTCTGGATTCCAGACGCACAATTACAAAATTACAACACTGTCTGCAAATGGTGCCCGGCTAAATTTAGTGCAAAATATATGGGAGCCCAGAGAGGCCACATTATACTTGATCGTAACCCCATCTAAAAACACATTAAAATAGTGCAGCAGCAGGATTCCAGTCAAACCAGTGAGTCTGGCGGTTTGAGACATCATGTTACATTGAAAAAAAAATTAATTAATTTTGCCGACCCGCATGGCTATGGCTACGCGCGCATACCAGAAACCGGAGTCTTTTGGGTTTTTTGGCCTAAAAGTAAATAAGATAAAGTGCAGTTAATTAAACGATACATTACCATGATTACATGAAACCAAAAAAATTGAAATAAAATTCAAAAACCCTGAATTTTATTAAATAACACTAGGCCTAAGTGTCAATCACCCTGTGAAATCATTGAGCCTGTCATTTTCAAGAAACAGCAATTGTTGGGGAAAAAAACAGTTTCAAAAATTTACCAAAATAAATTGAGTCCACACTGTTTGCAATCATGTGCGAATTCAGCGAATAGTCAGATTTCCGGTGCCAAGAAAACACAAATTTCATGACAGTTTTTCCGCACTTTCTTTGCAACTGTTTACACACCTGTGAAGGGGTACATGCCTGCTGGACTGATTCTCTGACCTTACAATTCCCCAAAAGTCTATACATTTCTCTGTTTCATCTTAAGTGGGGTCAGGGAACCAGACTACAAGAACATGATTGGTTTTCTTGGTTTGTCCACCATGTACAAGCCCAAAACGTGAAGCAAGTCAGTTTAACAATGTTTGCTATAACATACTAAGGCCAAAAAAAAAGTCTCCGGTTTCTGGTATGGAGCTTGCCCCAAAAGTGGTGCGGCGACGCGGCTTTTTTTTTTTTTTTACCTGTTTTTTTTTTTTTTGGCTTCAAATGTCGGCTGATGACTGCAAATGGTGCCCGACTAAACTTAGTGCAAATACATGGGAGTCCAGAGAGGCCACATAAAGCTTATTCTCGATCATAACCCCATCTAAAAACACTTTAAAATTGTGCAGCAGCAGGATTCCAGTCAAACCAGTGAGTTTGGCGGTTTTGAGACATCATCTTGTATTGAAAAAAAAAACTTTTTCATTTTGCCGACGCGCATGGCTGCGGCGACGCGCGCGCATACCAGAAACCGGAGACTTTTTTTTGGGCCTAATCCTCCAAATCCATTTACTTCTGATAATTGCAGCAAAAGCAAATGTTGTACATTCCCTTTAACTGTTTAAAACAGTCACTTGATTGATTCTGACTGCTGTGATGGTGATCTGAATTTGCTAGTCAGGGAGGCGAATTTTTTATTTACACAATAGTACAGGTTACCCATTTTTCAGGCGACTTGAATCAAGGTTATAGAATTGTAGAGCGCCGTGTCTACAATCCTGTAACCTTTTACTTACATACGCGCGCATATACTCTCTCCACAATGTGTGAAAGTATATACATGTAATTTATAAATTGCAGGAGTTGGTCGAGCACCGCCGTCACCTAGTGGTTAGGCATGCTGGCTAATGATCAGAGGTCTCGGGTTCGATTGCTTGCTCTGCACCCTACAGATTTTGCTCTTTTTTTTCAATAATTTAAAGTTTTAGCTTAGAAACGTTATTTTTCAGTCGGATACTACTTGTATAGCAGCAATTTTCTTTTTCTTTTCTGATCCGAGGCTCTGGAGGATTTTTAAAAAAAGGGAAATATAAGTCCGAAATCCGTACCAAGTTGAAAAATAGTAGCCTCCACTCAAGCCTGGTTATAAAAACCATGCCCCATAGGAAAGCGCACAAAGTACCCCAGATAGTTGTGTAAAATAAAAATATCGCGTCAGGGAGGGTTAATTAACACTTCTCAATCAGTGAAGTTTCATCATCTCATACCATGTTGTAATATGACATATTGACGTTTCCTTTCTTTACTTGACACGTAGGTCAGCATCCATCTTCAGAACTGGTCCCACGTGCTCAGCTACGTCAACAAGGCTGAAGCAACTCCTGAGATATCCGAGGGACACGTAAGTATCTGAGTCAAGGCTTTTGAAGTGACAAAAAAGGGCATGAGTGTGTCTAATTATCATGTGCTATATCCATACTTGCACCATGCCTGGTCATCAGCATAGATATGTAGCTAAAGAAATGCAAACTATATTTGAACATTAAACTCCATAGACCTTTATCATGCTGCCACCATTTCAGTCATGTTCCCTGTATCCAATAACAGTACTGAATGATAATGTTTTTTGTGCAAAAAGGAACCAGACTATTTGTCCTTCCAGCCTCGCTTTGGTTACACTGATTTGAATGGGGAAAAGTCAAATGGCTGCAACATGACAATGGTCTATTGTAGGTAACAGTGGGTGGGCTGAACAAATCTGAACTTAAAAAAATTTCATTTCGTGTCTTTGAAACTGTAATTTCTTTGGTTTAAAAAGACCATACGTCCAATAGGGTTCGCTCAATGACAGCCATCTCTGTAGGAGAACTGCAACTGCGTATTTTACGTAATGAAGCACGCATTGCGCAGTGTTGAAAATGCTCCAAACACGCGCGCTTGTTGCTCGAAATGTGTTCGAAATACGACGCAGCCGATGCGCGTTATGCAAGTTGACGCTCAAAATGCTGATGCATGTGGATGGTCTGTGAGAAATGACGTCATTTGAACGAGCCCTTTTGTGCCTGCCTACCACCACTGTGACCGTGGTTGGAAACTTGGCAAAATGTTTTGGAGCTGCCAAGCAGGCAACATGCACCAGCCTAAAGTGGTTGCCGTTTGAGATTTTTGTGATTCTGCAGTTGTTGAAAATTGACAAATATCTTATCAAAGTAATTTTAAGAAGAGGTAGCGGAATGGCTGATATTTGACTAATTTTAAAGAAGAAATTTGAGCTAATGGTCCCCATGAAACTGATTAAAGCCCTCAAATCATGCTCGAAAGTGGCTTTCAACAAAAGTGTGTGCATTTGAGAAACAGTAAAGCCACGCAACTGATACGATTGAAAGAACATTGTGGACGTTTTTCATCATCTCTCACATATTTCGAACATTTGAAATGCAAAAAAAAAATCTTTTGGATAATCGGGTGATGATCAAATTTTGAAATAGTATATTTGAAACAGCCCTATTTTGCAAGTTTGGGGTTGTTGGAAATTTATCAAGTAAACCAGTTTCTACTTCTGAAGTTGGCCATCAAAGGTTTCAACTTTTTAATTTTTTCATTTTTGTTTCAGCGAGATTCTAAGGATAATCTGACTGTCGTCACCAAGCTGAAGTGCTCTGCTGGTCTAGCGGAGCTCGCTATGAAGAAATACAAGCCAGCCGCCAAGTACTTCCTACAGGCTGTCTTTGATCACTGTGACTTCCCCGATGTGAGTTGTCTCTGTTTAACCCCAACTCCCTAGCGTCTTTTACTAGGAACTGGACCAAGTCCATCAAAATCCATCAATCACTGTGCGTCCAATGCAAAACTGTACATGACATAATGGAATCCACCACTGACGCACTGGTTGACATTCATGGACTTGCTACACACGGCTTTTATCACAATAGCAGTACAGGAAGCTAGGCAAAATCAATCGGATACCCCTAGCACTGCTTCAGGCCATTAGGCCCAAGTCCATCATACTCCATCAATATATAGTCACACCAGGCCTACTGGACCAAGTCCCCCAAAATCCACCAAAATGGGGGGATGGATTTTGATGGAGTTGGGGTGGTTAGGGTTAATAACCTTTACACCAGTTACAGAGTGATGCTCCAGAGTTTCGCCAAACCAAATAGTATTAGGAGCAGCTCAAATCAAGCCAAATAGATTGTGGTTTTAGACAGGTTAACTTTCTGGAATGGACAGTTTTTTAAACAAAGGCAAGAGTCAATCTCTTTTGTAGTCCCTCCATCCATCCATCCATCCATCTGTTTATATTCCGTCTGTCCCCGAACTCAAGGGTTGGACTCCATGATGATCATGTCTTCTTGGTCGGATAGCTTTCCTCTACTCTACTCGGTTCAGTGCCAGTCCCTCCTGTTTTAAATCTTGAAATGTTCATGTGCTTACTTTAAATCTTTTGGATAACTTGTTTTGGAGTCCTAGTCTGAAACGGGTGTTACTTTCATCCAGCAAGCACAGTACATGTATTTGATTGAGAGTTGTATTTCATGTCTCAAGTCACATAAGAAGCTATTTGAATGACCTGTCTCGTGATTTGACTTGTGATTGGCTTGACGACTTGTTTTATTCCACCATGAAACGCCTCTGTTTTCTTTGACTAGTTGCTGTCGGCCAACAATGTAGCTATGTATGGAGGTCTGTGTGCTCTGGCGTCGTTTGACAGGCAAGAGCTGCAGAAGAACGTCATCTCCAGTAGGTAAGTACACATGGAAACATGGCAACGATGGTGAATTGTTTGTTTTGTTTTTCAATGATGGCTGCCCATATTTTTTTTTTAATGTTAGTAGTTTCATACAGGCGAGTTGTAGAAACTATGGACTCACGCACGATGATGGGTGGGTTCGAATCCTGCCAGGAACATGTTGTTTGTGCCCGTCGGTAAGACACTTCGCTACAATTGCCTCTTTCTACTCGGGAGTATGAATGGGTACCTGTGAGGGTCGAGGACCGATTGAGCGCTGATATCGGCTGCCGCGTGGTCTCATGGCCTGATGATCGGCGTAAAAATTGTATATTGAGATTGTTGATACAATGGAAAGCGCTATGTAAGCACAACGATTATTATTTTATTATTATGAAGGGAATAGCTTATTTCATCTAGTCTCTGAGAGGAATCGTTTCATGTTATGTGACTCTGTTCATGATAAATAATGTGACATAATAACGTCCATACATTGAAGCATGCGAGGCCCTTTTCTGGCAGTGTCTGCTGGTAATTTACAATAAATTCAAATTACCGTACATGTATAATACCTTATTGCCTTTTTCCCCACCATTTTTTTCTCCCTTCTATTTTGGTCATGGGGAAGAGAGGTTTGAATGTTTCATCAATCTCACCATTGCCAGTTATTCTTTTGTGTGTGTGTATATTTATTACCTCTTTGCGCAGTTCCTTCAAGTTGTTTCTGGAGTTGGAGCCACAGCTCCGTGACATCATCTTCATGTTTTACGAGTCCAAGTACGCGTCCTGCCTGAAACTCCTGGACGAAATCAAAGACAACCTGCTGCTTGACATGTACCTGGCACCGCACGTCAACACGCTGTACTCACAGATCAGAAACAGAGCTTTGATTCAGGTATCTATAACACAGGCTTCCCAGTAAATCTGGAAATCAGGGAAACCTTGAAAATGAGTTTCCATTTTTTCCTGTCGGGGAAAAGTTAGGGAATTTGGGGAAAGCACCAAACAGCAGGTAAAACTCAGAACATTTGTTGATGAAGGAATGGCTTGAAAGGGAAGATACAACATTTGCAAACATCACAAAACGAAATGATCACATAATCACGAAATACCTCTACTGGATTGTTAGGGACGGACAGTCTAAAGCATCCTTTAAAATCGTGGCTCCTGGTGTGCTGACATTTTATTTTTCCAACTCTGGTCGGCCGACCAGCGTTGGAGAAAACTGGCTTTGTTCGAAAACTGCTTGCAAACTCTTTGCTGCAAAAACTGCAAAAACTCTTTGCAATTTATTACACACCTGTGAAGGGGTACGAGCCTTCTAGACTGATTCTCTGACCTTACAATTCCCCAAAGTCTATAAATTCTCCGTTTCATCTTAAGTGGGGTCAGGGAACCAGACTACAAGAACGTGAATGGTTTTCTTGGTTTTTCCAGCATCCACAAGCCCAAAATGTGAAACAAGTCATTTTAACAATATTTGCTATAACATACTAATCCTCCAAATCCATTTATTTCTGAAAATTGCAGCAAAAGCAAATGTTGTACATTCACTTTAAGGTGAGAAGGGAGGCCATGGCTTGTCGACAAGTCGCCTGTGTGGTATCAATATCTTAGTTGCTTTGCTGCAACCACCTCTTGACTTCCCAGCAAATTTATTAAAGTGAAAATATTTCTCATGGAATTTAGGAAATTTTCCAGTTAAAAAAAAACAGGAAAATATAGGGAATTTTGTTTTCATAAAGTGCTGGGAACTCTCTTACTCACTGCAGAAATGCATTCTTTCAAAGACAGACTCTTTTGGGCATTTGGTTTAGTTAAAAAAAAAAACTTATTATGTATTTCCCCATTACAATGATGGTTTAAAGATATAGTCCATCATTTGTAATCTGTGCATTTTGTTCGTTTGAAGCAACAAAAGAGTTCAAAATCTAATGAAGGATACTGAACAACTAACCTGATGAAGTTTCAGCTAAGCTTCAGCTGTATATTCCGAGAAAAACAGCATTCTAGGATCTCAATTTCAAATCAAAAGTTACTGAATCATGTTTTGAATTGTTTTTTAATTGCAGCTATACGCGATGTCGCGCACTGATCCGACGAATTATAGCAACCGCGCGCGCGTGTGCGTCGTGCCAATGCTTGCGCGCGCTTTGCTGAATAACAAAACGAACTACTAATTTAAATTTTCCTACGGTGCGTCTTAAGACGCACCATTGGAAAGGCCTTCTTTCGTTGATAACTTCAAAATGACAGCTTCCCAGAAAGAATAATTTCACAGGGAATTTAGTTCCCTTACTATCTTTCAACCAAGTATGTTTTTCAACAATAATTACGCCAGTTACTTTTCGGATGGCTGCAAACGATGGACTATAGCTTTAAGTTTTGTAAACAGACTTTAAATGGCAGATTATGCCCACTTTAAGCTTGTGACGTCGCAAAGGTGAAAACAGGGACATTGCCTGTTATAGTTCCAGTTCTGTATTTCTTGAATTGATACACCCCCAAAAAAAATCATATTTAGAGGAAATATTGCTGTCTGAACCTTTTGCAGCATATTTAGACATGTTTCAAAATCGCAACACACTGAAAGTAAAAGAAAAGCATCACCCTCACGTCATAATGTTGTTCATATCTCCAATTCGAGCTGTGCCCATGGCTTTGACAGAACAGATCAAGTGAGTCGGAATCGAAAGTTACACAGAGTATCAATCGCAAGCTCCAGAATTTAAGTTTGGGATTTATTCAACCCCTAAAAGATACCTGAAAATATACTTTATCACCCCAGTGTTTACACATACTCCAGAGTTAACAACTTACTTGGTATTTCAGTCCCTCATCATCAGTCATTTGGAGACAAGGGCGGATCCAGGGGGAGCCAAAGGGGCCATGGCCCCCCCCCCCCCCAAAAAAAAAACAAAACCAACTTTTTTAATTTTTTTATGTGACATTGCAATAAAGGCAGGCAATGAGTACACCACCATCTTTTCCTCAAACAAATTGGTTAAAGTGGTCAGAAATTGCCTCAGATCGCACCACAGAGCATCTAGAATCCAAAAAATTTTCAGGGCCCTTAAGCGTGCCCCGAACCCCACGCCGTAATTTTTTTTTACCCACTTTTTTGGGGGACCAAATTTTTTTTGGGCCCCCCCCCCAAAAAAATTGTGTTCTGGATCCGCCCTTGTTTGGAGATAATGTATTACTTTTGAAATTTGGTCATATGTTGCTTGTTTTTCTGTCCATTTGCAGTTTTACAGGTGCAGAAATTTAGATTGAGTATTGTTTTTCGTTTTCTTTTCTCTGCAGTATTTCAGTCCGTACGTATCGGCGGACCTATTGAAGATGGCAGCCTCGTTCAACACCACCGTGTCAGAGCTTGAGGATGAGCTAATGCAGCTGATACTGGACGATCAAATCAACGCCAGAATCGACTCACACAACAAGGTCAGTTGGGTTGGTTACAGCCATCCTAAATCCTTCAAAATCAAACAACTTGGTTTTGTAAGATTTTGAAGGATTCAGCACTGATGGGTTTGATGTGTTACAGCCATCCTAAATCCTTCAAAATCAAACAACTTGGTTTTGTAAGATTTTGAAGGATTCAGCACTGATGGGTTTGATGTGTTACAGCCATCCTAAATCCTTCAAAATCAAACAACTTGGTTTTGTAAGATTTGGAAGGATTCAGCACAGATGGGTTTGGTGTGTCAGTTTTGTCAAAGTACAGAGAGTGAGCCTTGGATGTACTCCACTGTCAGGTGTCACAGGATCCAGGAATTTTGCAAGAGAAAATTTCTTTCGTCCAGAAATGCGATTTCAAGAATCGTTGTCGCAATTGTCTTCAAACATCACCAGCAATAAAACCTCAGTTTAAAAGTTAAAAATATTAATCGAAGCCCTTTTGAAGGCCTGTTCTGTTGAGATTCATGCTTTGACTTTGATTTGCTTTTAGATTCTTTATGCAAGGGACGTGGACCAGAGGAGTTCAACATTTGAAAAGTCTTTGGCGATGGGCCTGGCATTCCAGAGACGAACAAAGGTATTTTCACTTTTGACATAGTATTAAAAATTAGTTGGTATATTGGTCAGAAATGTCCTTGGCATACAGCATTGCACATGAGAAAAAAAGGGTGATCACTCAAAAGCTAAAGGTATAGTCCATCATTTGGAATTTGTGCATTTTGTTCGTTTGAAGCAACAAAAGTGCTCAAATTCTAAAGAAGGGTACTGAACAACTAACCTGATGAAGTTTCAGCTCAGCTTCAGCTGTATATTTCGATGAAAACAGCATTCTAGGATCTCGATTTCAAATCAAAAGTTGCTGAATCATGTTTTGAATTGGGCCTGAATTTAGCGTCCGATACACGTTCTCACTGAGCCGATTGCAGCTACGCGATGTCGCGCACTGATCCGACGAATTATAGCAAGTGCGTGTGCGTCGTGCAAATGCTGGAGCGCGCTTCGCCGAATAACAAAACAAACTACTAATTTGAATTTCCTACGGTGCGTCTTAAGAAGCACCGTTTGAAAGGCCTTCTTTTGTTGATTTCCTCAAAATGACAGCTTGCCAGAAAGAATAATTTCACAGGGAGTTTAGTCCCCTTACTATCTTTCAACCAAGAATGTTTTTCTACAATAATTACGCCAGTTACTTTTTGGTTAGCTGCAAATGATGGACTCCGGCTTTAATGGAGGAAAGAAGAACTTATCCATATGCACTACACATGTTCTTGCTACTCAATGAGTTATCAATTGCAGTTTTATGTTTTGAGAATAAATACTGTGCATGGAAACCCATGCATAGTTTCTAAATCCAAAATCCCAATAATTTTCTTGATTTTCAAACAAGCAGAGTCCGATTCAGTACCAGGATCAGTGGGCCAAGTATCTCCAGTGTCCCACACACTGCCTAAATCAGTTATAGCTGCAACTGGGATTCCTTTTTTACAGGCCCCCCCCCCCCAATAAAATCGGCCGCAGGTGCACTTTCTTCTCGCGCTGGAAACTCAAATGTGTATGTGCGCAAATTCAAACGTTTATTAGACATGAAAAGGTCCACTTTGTGGTAAAAACGACCCTCTTTATTTAACCAGGCTGGCTACGGCCCTGTTTCAGTCTTGCATTTCCCGCCAGTGATTTGTATTTAGCATCAAATCCACAACAATTTAACCTTGGGTGTAGTTCCACACGGTTTCAAATTATGATTAGTTTCATTGAGATAGCCATGATTTACAGTGTTTGCTTGTCTTTGTCTTGATACAGGCTTTAATACTGAGGTCAGCCATGTTGAAGAACGATATCATCGTCAAGGTAGGCTCAGGATAAGATTTCTCCATATACACAAAAACCATCTCAACTGCTGGGTTATATTTAATGCTTTTTCTTAAGTGGAAAAATATCCAGATCCTCCATCTGACCTCGTGTAATCAGATATCTCATGATACTTTTCTCCCTATTTGCTGAAATGCGAGAGTGAGATACATTGTGCGCTTTTAATTACACAAATTGGACTCCATGCAGTAACTGTAGGGGGCGCTGTGGTGTAATCACAAGGGCAAAGGATGATTGCATGTGCGCACTGGTTCTCCTCATACTGTGTTCACGCGTTTGCTTTCTGTTGGAGCTACATGTACATACATGTACGGGTTGGAACAAGGGGACACAAGGGTAACCTCATTATATCTCAGGGTTGCTGTGTACTAAACTAGTTATGAACAATGTGCACAATTCTGTACCTTTGCACAATAAGATTGCACCAGAACATGTGCACATACAGCTGTTGACCTATCGCCGTTTGCGAGTTAGCCACGCCCCTTAGACAAGCCTATGGAATTTTGTACATTAAGTTCTGTTTGTCTCAGATTGTGCGCGTTCTGCGTGCATTTGTATATCATGTAATTGGAAAATATTTCACAAGCTGCGTTGACGCGATTCTAACGCGATTCTACCGCAGTAGGTTAATAAGCCATTTGCGAGTTAAATTTGAATAAAATCTGGAACGCTGACTTAATCCAATGCTTTGCGCGTTTTAACTTTGCTTTCTCCCGACCAAAGAGACTGTTACTACTTCACATGATTCGGGGCAAGCCTTATGCTAGTAACCCCCAGCTCTGGTATGGCCTGGTGTCTTTGTGCCATTCTCACCCATTGTGAGCAATGTATTGGTGCTGAGCGTCTCTTACGTAACTATGCAAGAGCTTGCCCCGAATCATGTGATTAGCAACAGTGTCTTTGGTCTGGAGAATTCAAAGTTACAGATGTAAGTCAGTCTACCAGATGTTTTTCAAATGTAAATCTCAAAGGGCATTTGTCACTCGCAAATGGCTCTATCAATATTGTGATAATATGTGGTATTATTTACTTGTGCATGGCGGAGTCCACAAAAGTGTTTTGTCAGACTGCTCTTATAGGCTGTGTTGTAGTTGAGTCCGTCATAAGTCCAGTCACAAGTAAATCACAAGTCAATTCACAATTCTGGTCACAAGTAACAGGAGATGACCAATACCAGAGGAGTGCATTTGTCTCGGTTCATGTGAATAACTTGTGACCAGAATTGTGAATTGACTTGTGACTACAACACTAGTCATACGCCAAATCTTGGAGGAACAGTTCCGTCACGAACTGACACCAAATTGAGTATTCAAAAAGCGTTGAGATAAACCGCCGTTACAATAACTGTTTTGAAAATTGTAAGTCTGATTTTCAGTTTGAAATTGACTTGTGGCTTGGAGTCGCCCAAGCCTAGTACCCATAGACCTTTATCATGCTGCCACCATTATAGTCATGTTTCCTGTATCCAATAACAGAACTGAATGATAATTTTTTTTGTGCAAAAAGGAACCAGACTATTTTCCCGTCCAGCCTCGCCTTGGTTACGTTAGTTTGAATGGGAAAAATCCAAATGGCCGCAACATGATAATGGTCTATTGAGTGCTCTATTAAGTAGCTTTGATGTACATTTGATTGGAAGTTTTTGTGCGTTTTGTCACACTGCCACCTGGATGACTCGTAGTTTGCTAATGTGAGTGTGAACGGAGGTGAGAATACTCCATCCCGATATTAACGTCCTCCCAGTTCCTGGCCCAGGGCCCATTTCATGGCACTGTGGGATGGTTTACAAGGGGGCACTGACTGTTGCAGTGGGTGAAACGGCACCCGGTTGTGACTGGTGTTTCAGAGTCCCGCCAACCAAATTACAATAGTATTCCTAATGACATTTAAATCAAGTTCGACCATTGAAGCGTGAGCAAGCGAAATGCAAATTGTTTAAACCTCAACTGTTGCAATTCGGGCGTTTCACAATGCAGTGCACCACCAAGAGTTTGCCACGGAGAGTTCATTTTTCCCAGTGCATTGTGGGAGATGGTCAACAAAATCACAGCAAACTCACAGCGTGGGACATTTGAGGTTTTCAGGTTTTTTGCGGTCAGTATTTTCGTAAACGTATAATTTGAGTATCTGTTTGCCCTTTTCTTTTCTTTTTTATCAATATGGTGTTTTTTGTAAGACGGCAGACTGCTGTGCCCCAATCTATATCAAATTAGCTCAAGTTGTCTACTCACACTCATTCAAATGAGTCGGGATTTGTCGACCGTAAATTTGAAAAATGGACTCTGCATGGCAAACTCTTCGTGGCGCACTGCATTGTGAATCGCCTTAATTGTTTGGAATGACTCCAGAGTCTATTGGATTGATGAGAGTTTCTCCTCGCACTTTTTGGTTTGGCGGCTCTTTTGGAATGCCAGTCGGAAATGGGTGTAATATGCAAAAAATCTCAGAAACAATGAACTAGTGAAATTGATTCCGAGCTGTCACAGGCAGAATTTTTAATTCTTTCTCAGCGATATCTCTTACATGTACATTCCATAATTTGGCTGAGCTCTTCCCTAGTCGGAATATGTTTGAAGTCAAACCATTATATTTCACCCTCTGCAGTTGCATGAACAACAACAAAATCTTTTACAGCCAAGACTTTCTTAAACCTTCATGCACTTGGGGATTTCCTTTTTCTAACACTTTTAATTGATTCTGCCTTTCAAGTGTCTGCCTATTGCTGTGCTAACAACTTACGATCGTTGTGAAATTGTAAAAGACTGTACCGAAAGAAAACCATGTGCCTAACACTGCTGTGAGATTGGGCCCTGTTTATGTACTGATCTGGCATGGATGTGAACTATGAATAATTTGTAGAAATAGTGTACGGGCAATGTTACTTGTAAAATCAGTCCAGCAGTGCGTTTTTTTATTTTCATTAATTTTGCAAAATTGTGTGCAAGCTCGCAATCTTACCTGCCTGTTTGTTTCTTTGTAACTATGTGTACCATCTCCAGTAGCATTTGGCTTTGTGGTTGGCGAATTCAATCTTTAACCCCAAAAATGAACAACTAAAAATTAATTAATTAAAATTGTGTAGCCAATACAGTGGCATACCCAGAGTGGTTTGAATCACCATTGTGGGACTTGGAATTTTTTTTCCAATTTGTAGATTTATTATTTTATCTATTTTTATTTATTGTTTTGTTTTATTGTTTTATTGTTTTTCCCTTTTTTATATTTTGTAAGGATTAAATTTTTACTTTGACATATTGCACAGCTCAGTGGCAGTATAAATGTGCAAATTTGCATTGTGTATGATTAGGCCAAAAAAAAAATACTCGGTCTCTGGTCAGACCAAAGTTCCGAAATTGATGCGGCGACGCGGGTTGTTTTTTTTTGTTTTTGTTTTTTTTCAAGCTTGGATTGTACAGACACGGTGGGGTTCTATTTTGCTTTTTTTGTGTCCTCATGTACATTGGTGTCCTCCATCATTTGCCTTGGTGCAATTTCCCATTCCTTGGTGCTCCTTGGTACAAAAATTTGAGGAGGTGCGACAATAGAGGGCGCTGTAGGAGCTACCGCGGAAAATTGTGGAAAAACAAAAGATTGACGCGCATGATTAAAATCGACGCGTGCGCTGACCAGAGACCGACTATTTTTTTTGGCCTTATACAAGAAAAGATATTTTGTAACCATTACATGACCATTTCAACTTGTGTGTACATGTACATGAGAACATTTCCTGCTCCAGCCTCATCGACATTGTATATAGACAAATGTGGCGGCAGCCATTTTCTGCGGTGGCACCAGGCTCATGCGAGTCGCGCTCAGGTAGTACGCACGCACTCCGGGCTCCTTCAACCAATAGACCATTATCACGTTGCCGCCATTTGGATTTTTCCCATTCAAATCAACGTAACCAAAGCGAGGCTGGAAGTAAAAATAGTCTGGTTCCTTTTCGGACACAAAAATTATCATTTAGTACTGTTATTGGATACAGGGAACATGACTCAAATGGCGGCAGCGTGATAAAAGTCTATAGGAATACCAAAGTGCGCAAGCGCCTCGTCTTTAAGAACGCGTGCAGCATGCGCGTGAGCGTGACACCACCGCAGTAAAAGCTTCTAATTCTGGTCGCCGGATTCCACTATATCCTCCCCAGCCTCTCTTTGGACGAAATTTGTGGATTTTGTGACATCAATACCTGAGATGATAAGGCCAACAGTCAGCAATCTAGTCAGAAAGCAGTCTAGAAAGCAACAGAAAGCAATCTAGTCTGGCATTCTTGATGTGAAAAAGCTTAGATTTTGTTGCAAAATAATAAACCTGAGTTTTGTAGTTTTGTCCGCCTTGTGCTGAGTAGTTGCGTGGACTCCAGTCTACATCCCCTCAACTCGTCCTACCTGACCCACCGTGGCCACTCATTAAAATTGAGAATCCCAAGATGACCTCTGAAAAACTCCCCAGGTTTCCCAACATATCACGATTATGTATCAAAGTAGTGGCATAGACCCTATTCTTATGTGAAGGGGGCTCACAAAGTGCTTCAGTTAACATTTTGCGCATGCGAAATCCATACTTTCGTGCGTTCACAATACGCAAAAAAATCCCAAGGCTCGTTGAAATGTTCCCAAGGCCTGTCCTCAATTCCCAAGATCTTGGGAAAAAATCCCAAGAAGTGGCCACGCTGCTCCTTCATCAGAGTGTCCATCCCATATTTTGTTAAATTGCACAGGATCCCTTAAACCCATGGAGTCCATACCATATGGCTTAATTTGTATCATGCAGTTTTGTACGTGTGATGTTTATGCATGCAGAATGAAGGCTTTGTCGTGTGATGTATTGCCTAAAGGTGTTTGCTTAATTTAGTACTGAATCCAATATATAAATCACATTTGTTTGTTTTGTATTTGGAATATGTATGTCAAGTGATGCCATTCCTTGTGGCAATGATTGCTGTATGCTGTTAAAAAAAGTATTTTCAGCGGGGGATGAAAGATTCTGAGAATAATGGGTGAATTGTAACAATTTATCGTCAGCAATTTACTAAAATGTGCTTCCATTTAAAGTAATCATGCAGCAAGCTATATAACTCAATAGGTAGGGTTCATGACTCATAATTTGAGAGTTAAGAGTTTGAATTAAATTGTGTCCCTAGGCAAGCTATTTACCGTAGTTTGCCCTCTCAGCACGAGTATTAATTGGTGCCATACATTAGCCGGGAAGCAACTTGCAGTGGATTGGCATTTCGGGCGCTTGAATCCAGCTGCTGGCTTTTCACTGTGTCCTCTGGCAATCCACTTTACCTCCATCTCGGCCCCTCTCTGCGAGGGGTATAAATTGGTACCATGCATTAGTTACGAAGCAACTTGCAGTGGATTGGCATTTCGGGGTCTTGAATCCAGCTGCTGGCTTTTCACTGTGTCCTCTGGCAGTCCACTTTACCTCCATCTCGCCCCCTCTCTGCGAGGGGTATAAATTGCTGTCATGCATCAAGCTGATATGAGTTTAACGCGCACAAGACTGACAATTTGTCCAGGAGGAACAGAATAAATTCTTGGTTGCTTCATGCTTGCAAAGTTAACATTCTTCGCTTGCATTGTCCGGCTACCCGAGCAAGAGCTTACAAGATCCCTTACAGAGAAGTGTTGGCCCTCTTCCCGTACAATCGCACGTAATATTGTTCAAGTAAAGTGTAATTTCATAGTGGCATTGATGTCAAGTGGTCATTAGTCATTTGGATTTGATATAACACTATTATTTTATTTTTTTTTCGGGGGGGGAGGGTTGGTGGAGTGGGGGGGGGGGGAGGGGGGGGAATGGGGGCTGTTCATGATAAGAAGCTCTGTTTATATCATATGTTGTGCACATACATGTATGTATAGATAACGTGTGCCCTGCTGTGGCGTGGGTACTGTATTGAACTTTTTCACAATCTACATTTACTTCATTGTTGAAGATGTCATGATCCCCATTTATATATTTGATCATCACAAGAATCTCCTCAAGGGATTTTTACCCTTGCTTGTATCAAAAGTATTACAAAAATGTCCAGACCTCACCCCAAGTACAACCAGGTACACCTTTAAGAAGTAAACCACATTGAACCATAGAAAACCCCCAAAACCTTAAAACTCTTCAAGTTTTGTTGAAATTTGAAAACAAAGTTGAAAATGCTAGATGTAAGTAGCTGTTAAAGTATATGTATGTAGCTGTTACAGTATATGTATGCAACTGTGAAAAAGTAACAAATGTTTATAAGCTGGCTTTATCCTGCATTCACAAATCCACCGATGTACGAGTGTACCTTTTTCTTTTTTGACAAACTGACAAATCCATGCCCTTTGGACCATCAATTAGTTTGTCTCTTATGTAATCAGTGCAAGTCCAAGAATCTCAGTGGATCATGTCCGCCCATCTGTCACTCGGAAGACGGATATAAAATACCCAATTAGTCTGGCGTCATGCAGGGACATCCAGTATATCATCCAGACTTCTCCTCCCTAATTGCCCTCCTTTCTGTAGAAAAGAGTCATTTATTTCCATCGCTGTTATTACATTACGCAGATTTGTTTTGAGTCTGTATCGTCGTGTTATATTCATACATGTACATCTTGGCAACGGCGGCAGAACGGGGGGGGGGGGGGGGGGGGGGGGGGGGGGGACATTGCCCCCCCCTACTTTTTCCCACTTGCCACCCCCCCCCCCCCCCACACACACACTGTTGGCAGGTCCAAAATTATGTACTCTATGCCCTATATCTGGGTGAACATAAAAAATAAGTTATCTAGTCTCCTGTCTCTGGAAATAAAAGGATGGAATGATCGCTTTCGATCATTGGGAAGGCCTACTAACAGTGCAGTTGCCATGGCATAGGCGGCGGGACTGGGGGGGGGGGGCAGGTGTAACATATACCAAAAAGAAAATCATAGAAAAGAGCGCCCCCCCATTGGCAAGTGAGGTCTAGCAATTCCCCCCCCCAAAAAAAAAAATTTCCGCCACCGCTGCATCTGGGCAGGGAACCACTGCCCACCCAAACAATTCTTGAGCATTAGAATTGTCCGAAACCTTTTTTTTTTTAAGACATGTTTCCCATGCTATTTTTGCATTGCACCTTGAAAAAAAATATTGTTTTTTCAACTGGTATTCAATCTCACAGGGCTGGTTTTGCAAAATGAATAATTCCTTTTAAAGAGGGTTGCAGACACCAAAAATTGGACTAAAACATACAAATTGAAAAAATTTTCAGAGAAGAAAAAAAAATGAAGTTTTAAAAAGCATTGGGTATGCATCTTTTATAGAAGTACTGGAGAGAAAGACATGTCACATTTAAGGACTTCTACAGATTTATTTTAAAAATCATCAAATAAACCATAAAGGGTTTAAGTAATTTAAATTTGCCATACCAAAGATAATGGCTAAATTCCAAACAGCTGCTTTTCATTATAAAGTCAGCTAAAGTCATACTTAAGGTCAGCTTTTTAAAGCAAAAGTCACCTAAGCACCAAATGCCATCTTGTGCTGTTAACCTTTTTTTATATTTACTCAGCAAATAGATTTTGTGGTTAACAAATAACTACATTTAGCAGTTCTACGATATTGGTTAGAAATTATGAGTAATACATTCAAAGTCTGATTTGTTGATAGTTATTTCTTGTAAGCTTTGAAAATGTTCAATACACCCACAGTACATATATTCCCATGGGGTTTGAGCGATGTATTTTTCGGCACGTAGCGCCGTCGCACTCGGGTTGTTTGTTCCGTTGATAAGAACGTCCGTCGTCGTTCCCACAACCCCGGGCTATTGAGCCGCCGATAATGTCAATATAACCGTGTGCATCCCCAACAGCCACTTTGACTTGGAGATGGCTTAAGCACTCCGTCCGTATTGGGTGACCGTCCGATCAATATCCAGCTTAACACACTCGGTCTGCGTTCCAAGACAATCCCGGTATGTTGCAGCACGCTCGGCTTCCCCCCTCCCCCCCCCCCCCCCCCCCACTAAATTCCTCAACAGAATTATGCATTTTGCGTTGTGCACACTCTAAGAAGGGAGAACCGTTTAGCATTTTATAAGAATCGTGAAATTTGTATGGAGTACCAAGTGTGTAAAAGTGCACTGCACCATAAACCTGTTTGACGGTGTGTTACTGTGCTGTGCAGTATGCACCGTGGCATTTCCTATTAAAGTAAGCAAATTCTGTTCATTGATTTTCAAGTGGAAATAAGACAATTTATATAGAAACTGGTATTTTTTTTAAGCTGTAGGCTAAACATTTACCTGGACTGTGCGATCAGATTTTTAAGATCTCCACCCACACTCCCAACCCCACCCTTTCACCCCATCCTCACTACCATCCAACCCCCACCCCAAAGCCACCCAACCCCACCCCACAGCCACCCAACCCCCACCCCACAACCACCCGACCCGCAACCACCCAACCCCCACCCACAGCCACCGACCCCCACCCCCAGTATGTTGCAGGGGGAAAAAAATAATAAATGAAAAGAGAAAGTTTAAAATGCTTAACATTGTGGACATTTCAGTTCTGCTTCTGGCAACTAAAGATTTTACCTTGGCATACTTGGCCCAGAAACAAAAACAAAACAAAAAGAAATCCTGGAGCTTTTGTGACAGTTCAATTCTGTTGGGCTGTGAAAACAATTTTTATGTAAAAGCAAAATGCCGTCATCCTCTCATTCTCTAATTAACATTTAATGAATAATGTATTTCAACAATGTGACGTGGAAGAGGATTTTCAGTTTCACTTTTGTTTCAGCTGAATTAAATTGATACTTGAACTGTGAAAATGTCAAAAATGCGCACTTTATTAGCCTAGTGGTAAATTTCTACAATTAAGCTTTTCTTGGGCTCAGTGTTGGATGCCATGTTTAAGAAAATTGCACTTGATTGTCGATTGTCACTTGCATCCATTTTTAAACAACTACGTGTACAATCTAATGTCAGTACATAAACCTACTAGCTGCCTTCGGGTACCATCAACCCCACTACTTGCTGGTGTTAATTTCAGTTTTTCTTTAATATACCCGTTATTTTCATTTCGTTTTTCATTTGGTTTGAACTGTTTTTGTTTCTAACCATTTCACATATGAGTTGAATACTTCCCTCAAACAGAATTTTTTGAGAGTCCCCTGGAAGGAGACAATCAGCTTTTAATACGTTTTTGATTTCTTTTTGATTTCAGTTTCTGTTGTTTTCTTTTGTTTTTGTTTTTAGTTCAGGGATTTTTTTTTGTTACTTTTTCAGATTCAGCCCCAAGGGCAGGCACAGCCTTGAAATCTGAGTAAAAACAGAAAGTAAGTTTTCTGAACAACATGGGTCAAGTTCAGGCGCGAACTATATTGTTAAGCATAGTTTGACCATGTGGAGCTGGGAAGTGTTCCTTGCTCTATGGTTTGAATGACTTCGCTAGAACGAAGGATGGTTGCATTGGTTGGACTTACTCCAGTGGACTGTTTGGAACTGAACTACAGAGCATCGTTCCATTGCTGTCTACCAATTGTCACGCTCATCATAAAGCACAATGGGGGTGACGTTTTGACCGTTGTTAGACTACAGTATTAATAGCGCAGGCGTAAGTTACGTCACAAATCAACCACTGACTAGTGGACTAATGGTCCTCGCCTGAACTTGCTTACTTTATGGCCTACTACCATTGACTACCCCTTCAAAACCATGTTGAATTACTGCGTGTTGGTCTTTGAAAGGTTTGTACCACTAGGTGCGTTTGATCAAAAGGACAGTTTTGTCCACACAAATCTTGTTGTGGACGGTCTGTTTTTGCACATTTCCCGAGTAGTGAATCTTTTCAGGAAATTCCCTCAGCTTGTTTGGGGTATGATGGGTCACAAATTGTTAATACCAGGGAAATGAAATGTTTAGAGTTTTAAAATACTTATTTTCAACCAGCGGCATTTTGGCTTGTGACCTCCCTGGATCTACCTACATCCTGTCATATACGTTTATAGCGAAATGAACGGGACATTATTCTTTTCCTCCACTTTCACACTGACGGAAGATGCCCCTTTTCCAAGCAAGAGCCCCTTTTTGGTGTTGCCTGCCCCCCTCTTCCCCCCCCCCCCCCCCCAGTTTGAAAATCATCAAATCTTGTTATGCATTTTCGTAGTTGGAATACTGAGTTTGCGTATATGAATGCAATCCAGCAGCACGTACAAATGGCTTTTTATAAAAAAAATTCATTGCGCGTTTTACACTGTGGTTGCCCTTCACCAGTTAAATGTTACAGCACTGCTATGATCAATTTGAATGCAAACAAAACCCTCGAAAGTTGTGCATATTTCTTGGAATCGACATGCACATATTTATAAGTATGGTCAACCCATTTTGTTACGTTCAGAGCTTAATTTACTCAGCAAGTCGGATGCCCTTTTTTTTAAGTTGACTTGATGACAGACTTAAGACAAGTTTGACCACCCAATTTTCAAAGGCTGACTGAAGCCTTGATGTCCAGGATTCTGCCATGTGCATGTAACAAATTCATCTTTTCGCAATGATCTTCAATCTTCAAGGCTCTTGTAATTTCAGCACTCGCTAATGCATACTTTATCAAATTATGTCTTGATTTAGTCCAAGTTCATGATGGATTTTGGTTACGGTTTCACATTGGACAATGTCTGACATTTCCTCACAACTGTGGTTGTTTTTGAGAAATTCTATCTCACAAACTGAACACTGTCAAAAATGTGTTGAAAAAGCCAAACTTGATTTGATAATACGGTACTTGGCGCGTCTATCCGATCAAGTCTATTCTTTTCTTTCTCCAGTTTCAATTCATGCCGTTATAATTTGTGAGCATGTGTTAAAGGCTTACATGCATGCAGCTACACAATCAGTTTGGATGCTCGCGACCAATTTCAGGGACTTGCTAAAAGCACAGAAGTGTGCAAAGCTCTGGAAGGATTTTGTTTGCCAAAATAGGTGTTCAGCCAAATGATGTGTGATGGAAATGTAATCACTATTGACTGATTCTCCGCAGATGTTTGCTTGGCATACAAATGTGTGAAGCAGTGTTTGTTTTGGCGATGCAGAATTATCAGCCTGGTCATGCTGGTGGTCCAGCAGTATTTCCTTACATTTGTGACCGGCTCCACAAAAAAGGGTATTATGTCGCAAAAAAGAGAAATGGACTTATATATGTGGTTAGAAAGCCCACAATGTAAGCTTTCATTTGGTATATGAGAGCTCCATAGCCCTTCCCGTTCTGGAGATATGACGTATTTGCCTATTAATTACTTCCTTGGAGTTCAAATTACACAACTGAGAAAACAGGCTTTGAAATAGCTGGCTTTGTTGTAGAACAATAGAACGATGCACACAAAATGGTTGTTTTTTTCCACTTTGTTCATCAAAATCAACATTTCTGGGAAGGAAATCTTAAACTGGAGGTATTAAAGATGTCATTTGAGACAGTGATCCCATGATGACCTTTGACCCCAGTTTGGTCATGTGACATGTTGGGGCTGGGCTACTGAATACTTTTGACAAAATTTGGTTGAAATCAAAATATGGAGGAGCAATAGACAATGTTAACGTTTGTTGCTAACTACATGTGTAACGGACTAACAGAGAAACATGATGTTGAGCTGCTATCCCGCAGCTAAAAAAACGGGTAACGGAACGCTGATATATGACCGATTTTACAGAAGAAATTTGAGCCAATAGTCCTCATGGAAGCTCACAAATCACGCACAAAAGAGGCTTTTGTCAAACTTGTAGTATGTGACAAAAACAATCCAACCATGCAACTTATACAATTTAAATAATATCGTGGATGAGTTTCGTCATCTACATGAAACCTCCGGAAAAAAAACAGTTGATATTTTTCAATTTAAAAATATGCCGTTCAGATATTCGGCTGAAGATCAAATAAATACAATTTTAATAATATTGTGGACGTTTTCCATCATCTCCTTGAGCCTGCCTTCATTTTTCAATTTTTTTCGAATAAATAAATGCCATTCTGATATCCGCATGCCGATCGAATATAATATTCTGTATATGTGGCACAGCCGTAATAATGAATTTGCTCTGGAGGGCATACAGTTTCATTTATATGCTGATTTGCACAAAGATCCTGAGGTGTGGTTTCCATGTGTATCCGGTATTTAAGGACAGAATGAATATTGGAGGTCTGTTGCTGGAACACGTTTCATTTTGAACGTCATACACATATCTGAAAATAGAATGCTATTTTTTATACAACATTTTCTGAATCTGGCATAAGATTTTTCCGACTTTTGTCCGAAATCAGACTGTTTGAATCTGAGAGAAAGACATTATCAATATCTTTATAGAAAGATATGAATCTTTGTGATCCTTCATCGATTTTCAGACTTTTTTGTTAAATCACAATCTCATCCCTGCTGAATAGAGGGGTAGTATGTTGACCGTTTTAACAGTTGTAGTGAACAACACAAAAACTCTGCCAATATTGTGTGCTCAAGCAGCAGTTATGCTCAAGATTCTGCCTCAGATAACATCAACGTTTCTGCTCGTAACTACACAAAGCACAGGCATGAGATTTTTCAGACTTTTGTCTGAAATCAGACTTTTTTGAATCTGAGAGAAAGACATTGAAAGGGGGACGAACCTGCGTTAACAGGAACGGAGTGCCCATCTCTCTTTCGTTAGCGATTGGGCCAGACTCATATGCTGCTGTGGGGGGATCGCCACACCTCCTCCACAGTGAGTCTGTTAACTTCCCAGCATTGAATAATGCCGGTACCATTTAACACCTGGGTTGAGAGGAGTAATTGAGGTAAAGCACCTTACTCAAGGGCACAATTAACACGCATGGCCACGGTGGGGCTCGAACCCACAATCTCACGATCATGAATCCTGTGCTCCACCGCTAGACCACACTATCAGTATAGAAAGCAGTACATGTACAGTTTTCAGACCTCATCCAATATTCAGACTTTTTTTTAAATTGAATGTCTCAGCCTTGAAAGCATGAAAAACACAATGGCCACGAAACACCCTTAGAAATGGCAATACGAAGAGTGAAACTGAAATTTACTTTAAGTGAATTGATACAAAGCAATATTTCAAGGATATCATTATTGTCTGTTACTTCAGCCTTTACAAAATGTGTTGAGTGCTTTAAATGTACATCAAATTTGATTTGTGTCAAGCGTTATAGTCCTGAGAGCTGGCCAAGCAATTTTTAAATGGAATTTTGAGTGCTGGACAGTAATCATACTTTGTAAGTTTCTTAACCCTAACGATCCCCAACCAGCCAAACTCCAACACCAGGGTTTGTTGGAATCTGTTAGGATGACTGCTGTTAGTAAACGGACTGCTTTACGTGGGACTAGGCGTAGCACAAATAAACAGAGTCCAACTGTTTATGTGCACAGTTTCCCGTATGGTGTTGGGATTTGCAAGGATGAGGACGGTTCCTAGTAAATCACCCTAGGGAGTTAGGGTTAAAGTAGTTGAGTGAGAGTTGAATCTGCGACCTCCAGAGCGCTGGTTCTACCTTTGACTGCCTTTGGCTCGACTAACTGAGCTTTCCAGCCTTATGTTGACAGTCTACCAACTTGTAAATGTCTTTGTCCATTAGGTGCTCCTCAGAAGCTATAAACCTTCCCTGTCATGTGAATGTGATCAGTGATTCTAATTTTGTACTTTGGATTTATCTTTAAAGAGGTTGTGGGATGCTCATAGACATTTCCGTCATTTTTTGGGTATATGTAGCCTAAGGTGCGATGAAATAAAAACGGCTACTGTTTCTGTCATGAAATGAGTACAGAAGGTACTTTTGAGAGCTTTTTCAGGTCCTGTTTCGACCAGAACGTGCAATTTGTGTAAAAGTCGTCGTTGGGGGCAGCAAACAAAACATAGTAAATCGTGACGTAGTAAACAGGACTCCCGATGCAGCATAGTATAAACGAGTCCTGTTTACTACGTCACGATTTACTATGTTTTGTTTGCTGCCCCCAATGACGACTTTTACACAAATTGCACGTTCGGGTCGAAACAGGAGCTGAAAAACAGCTCTCAAAAGTACCTTTTGTACTCATTTCATGACAGACACAATAGTCGTTTTTATTTCATCACACCTTAGGCTACATATACCCGAAAAATGACAGAAATGTCTTCGAGCATTCCACAACCTCTTTAAAAAAGGGATTTTGAAAATTGATTTTTGGATTTCATTCTTTGTTCGTCAGAGCCTACCAAGGGATGGCTGTAACGCAGCAGACAGCATGGTGGGGATCAGCACTGGCACTCCTACTTGACAGACTGACTGGTCCACGGACGTCACAGAGGTACACAAACACTCTCGGCATGCTGTAACCTACATGTAAATAGATGCCATTAAATACCCCCAAGGGTTTGTAGTCTGAATCACACTTGATGTATATGCAAGTCCGTAAGTCGTAAAGAGTGCTCACTCCAACAAGCTTTTCAACTGAATAATGTTTACCGTGGCTTAAGCCCGGTTCATACTCTGCGCGAAAGCGAACGCGAATTTGTGGCGTCATGGCAAGTATTCGCGCTGCAAATTCGTAGCAGTTGAACACATTTCAACTCGGGCGAATTTCGCAGCGAATGTTTCATGACGTCAAATTCGCTTCGCATTCGCATGAAGTATGAACCGAGCTTTACGCCTACTTTTATCCACCGGTGACTTCGATATCAGTGTAAAAAAAAAACTTGTTGACTCCAATTCGCGGCTGCAGGCACTCGTTTTTCAAAAACAAACCAAAAACAATGTTGACATAGCTCTATTGTTACACATCAGACAATTCCTAGGAGAACGCTTAAAAATCAGAGTTCAAGACGGGCTGTTGATGACCAAACCATGGAAAATCTTTGTAAATCAGAGGAAAGTGTCGGATGTTTATTTTATTGAAATTTTGAACAAAAAAATTGACTGGAGCGGGGCTTGAACCTGCGACCTCCGGATTACCGTTCCACCAACTGAGCTACTCAGCCCTATGTTGGCGGTTCCCCAATTTGTCAATATCTGTGTTCAAGGCGCGCTAGTCAGAAGCCATCAACCTATGTGCCATAGTCACGATGCAGACAGAGAGGATATTTATTTTAATAACACCTCGCGCACAGATTCCATCTCGAGATTGGCCAAGATCGCATTATCACATGGTATTTTCTATTTTTTTTCCTATTTTACCATGCACGGCCAAAACAAAAATAACATGGCAGCCTCATTTTGAAAGTAATATATGTGACCCGCTCTGCAAAAATGAGTCTGATGTCGCATAGCTTGAATTCCAGCTTTCACCACTTTTAAATGGAAACAGTGAAAATTTGCTCAAAATTTGGATTTTTCGTTTTTGTTTTATTTTGGTTGTTTGATAGTTTTAGTTCAGATATCTTACACAGAAATTTAAATATTGTAAGAAAACGACTAACAAATTTATGATATTTGGTGCTTTTCTTGGTTAGTTACATTGTATTTGTAAATTTTAAACCCTTTTTTCTTCATTGAGACATTTCTTGCTTTGCAAAAACTTGACAGAATTAAAAAAGGCACAACAGTGCAACCAAACGCCCTAGAGAGGCCCATGATATACCAAATGAAAGCTTATTTCATTCCCATTTTATCAATGTAGTTAACTCAAAATGTCAGTTTTGCCACAACAGACTCATTTTTGTGGAGTGGGTCACATATGTGTAGCATCCAATGTAGTAACTGTAGGTCTGTGCACAATATGGTTTTTGTTGTGCGCATTGTTCTGACTCACCACAGAGTAAGATGCTGACGGCTTTCAACTCATGGCACAGTAAAACTATCCTCCTTTTGTGATCCGTGGAGGTTTTTCGTTTTCCCTCGTCTTCGCCTTAGGATAATAAAATGCTTGGTGGATCATCTCAGGAGGCTAGTTGTACTAGACCACTCGAAGCAGTCAATATTTTATAATATAACGCCTCACCCACAGATTCAGTATCTTGGTTGGATGAGAGCGAGTCACATGGCATTCGCTAATCTTACTATCTTGCTGTGCACAACTAAAAAGACTATATACAGAAAATCAAGCAGAATCTGTGGTTGAGACATTATGAAGCAAGTATTGACTGTTTTAGCCCGTGGTCTAGTAAAACTATCCTCCCCAGGTGATCCATGGAGTATTCCATTTCCTTCGGTTTTACACCTCGGGAAAATAGAACGCTCTATGGATCACCTCGGGAGGCTAGTTTTACTAGACTACTCGAAGCAGTCAATATTTGTATACTAAAAATATTACCAGATAACGAAATGTGAACAGTTTGGCATCTTTTAAGTCTGACTCCTTCTACAATTATCAGTCACTGTTGGACTTGGTCTTTAATACTAAATCAGTGATACAAGGGAAGTTTTCTTAAAGGTATAGTCCATCATTTGTAATTTGTTCATTTTGTTCGTTTGAAGCAACAAACGTGCTCAAAATCTAAAGAAGGTTGCTGAACAACTAACCTGATGAAGTTTCAGCTCAGCTTCAGCTGTATGTTTCGAGAAAAACAGCATTCTAGGATCTGGATTTCAAATCAAAAGTTGCTGAATCATGTTTTGAATTGGGCCTGAATTCAGCGTCCGAGACACGTTCTCACTGAGCCGATTGCAGCTACGCGATATAGCAACCGTGCGCACGTGTGTCGTGTCAACGCTTGCGCGCGCTTGGCCGAATAAAAAAAACGAACTACTAATGGAAATTTCCAACAAGACGCACCGTTGAAAAGGCCTTTGTTTGTTGATTTCTTCAAAATGACAGCTTGCCAGAAAGAATAATTTCACAGGGAGTTTAGTTCCCTTACTATCTTTCAACCAAGTATGTTTTTCAACAATAATTACGTCAGTTACTTTTTGGATAGCTGCAAATGATGGACTGTAGCTTTAAGGCATTTACTGTTGTGCTCCTATGTGACTCACAAACTATTCATGACAGTGTAGACCTACAGAGATGTGCATACATTTCTATAACTTCACATGGTATGAATAAATAGTCAATAAACTGCACTTTTAGGCATAAGACGGCTAATATTGACTGTCTATATTATCATTATGTCCAATTTTTGTGGCACGTCTGTGAAACTAATAGGATTCCACCGTACAATGCAGTTGTATGAACTTGTATTGGTGGCTACATGTCAAGATGTCCGGAAATAGCACAAATGCGTGTCTACTTAAAAAGAAGTCTGTTACGGCAGATAGGTGATGGGATTGTGCCTTTGAGGGTACAAGCATGGCATTTGGCACACAGAGTATGTCATGAGAAAGATATTTGGCTATAGGGCTATCACAGATTTGTCCTTTGAAAAAAATATCTAGGTAGAATACCAAGCCATTTTCAATATTTTCAAAATGCTTGCCATTGCTTGTTATTCTACCTATATTTTTTTTCAAAGGACAAATCTGCGATGGCGCTATAGACCATTTTTTCCCATTCAAATCAACGTAACCAAGTCGAAGCTGGAAGGAAAAATAGTCTGGTTCCTTTTTGCACACAATACATTATCATTCAGTACTGTTATTGGATACAGGGAACATGACTGAAATGGTGGCAGCATGATAAAGGTCTATAGCCAAATATCTTTCTCATGAAATACTCTGACTGTGTGCCAAATTCCATGCTTGTATCATCAAAGGCACAAGTCCCCAAAATATTTCCCCTATCTGCCCCTAGAGCAGTCATCCTAATTTCAGGAGTGCACTCTTCATTTGATGATTCCATCTTGGGGTTTTTGTGGTTATAATTTTAATTCAGTATCAATTAAAGGGAATATACATCATTTGCTTTTGCTGTAATTTTCAGAAATGGATGGAATTGGGGGGTTGGAAATATATAGCAAATATAGTTACACTGACTTTTTGAGGTTTTGGGTTCGAAAATGCTATAAAAACCAAGAAAAACGATCATCTGGTTCCCTGACTCCATATAAGAAGAAACAGAGCAGTTTACATACATTGGGGAATCGTAAGGTCAGGGAACCAGTCTAGCTGGCTCGTACCCGTTCATAGGTGTGTAATCGATTGCAAACAAGTGCGATGGTTAATTGGGGCCAGTATTATTTTTAAAAGCCAGTTGTTTCCAACGCTGATCGGCCGATCAGCGTTGGAAATTGATACAAAAATACCACTTTTCTTGAAAATGACAGTATACCAGGTGCCATGATTTTACAGGATGCTTTACACTGTCATTCACTAACAGTCCAGCAAGGTATTTCAAAATGATTTGGTAGTTTTATTTTTTGATGATTGCAAATGTTGTATTTTCCCTTTAATGCATAAGAGGTCTACTCATGAACAAAAGCACACACTGCATGGATGACCGCAAGTCAAATGATCTATAATATAATTCTAAGCAATTTATACTGTAAAAAGTCGGACAGTTCATGTTTATTTTGGAGGCATGGTACTCTGTTAAAAGCAATCTCCAATTTGATCGCTAATCTACTTGAATTGCTTAATATTTGAGCTTTCCAATGAGCCCCTTGATTAGTAACAGCTTTAGTTTCCAATTGCAAATTAGTAGCGTCCCACTCCTAATTTAAAAAAAAGGATGTTAATGGATTGCAATCTTCTTGTTTTGCAAATACTGTAATAAAAAAACTAACTGTTTTTTTGAAAACCCCAAAAGAGTGTTTATGCAGTAAATTGCTTTAACCCTAACTCCCCAGGCCTTTTTGCTAGAATGTAGACTCAATCCTGCAAAATCCTCCAATTGGCCTCATGGAAAAAAAGCATATAGCCTCCATTCTGCAAATTCCACCATTATTTCTTGAATATGGTCGGTGGAGGGGTGACCCTTGCCTGAATCCTGCAAACTCCTGCGACAGTGACTGTCAATATGTTGAGGCTTGGCCAGTGACATCCTGGAGCAGTACGGAGGATTTCAAGCATAATCCAGGCCTATATTTATGCATGGCTGAGCAAAAACAACACAAGGCCGGGCCCGAGACCGTGACAAAGTTCATCCTACGAAATCAGTAACGCACTTTCGCCATGTAACCTCAATCCTCCAAATTCCTCCATTTTGGCAAAGAGGATTTTGAAGGATTCAGGGCAGTTAGGGTTAATAGGTTGTGAGCAGTGGGGTTCCATTAATGGACAAGTTTATTCTTTTCAGAACCTAGATGATGTATGTTTTGTTACATTGCATATTTGAAAACGGCGCAATATGTTTTCACAGTTTTATGTAAATAAAATAAACCACTTTGAGAGAGGGACAGTCGTGTCTTATACACTGAGATTCAATGTTACTGTCTGAGATGGTGTTGATATGAATAGAGGTTGGTGATTTTAATCTACTTACGCGTGCATTCTATC